GTGCAAAGCCCTGTGTTTTGAATCTAGGTGCCCAGCCAATTACTTTGTTAATGATCCACATGTGAGTCAGTTCTGTTGACCGCCTCCACAACTTGTAATTTAGCCGTAGTAAAGAAAGGGTGGGGAAAACCAATATATTGTAAGGAAATTTCCACTCCAGAAGTCTAAGAGAAAAGGGCACCGAGGCAGCTTGATTTGACTTAAACCAATATTTCATGCATGCCTGTGTGTTTGTGACAGCTGTAATATGCTTAGAAAGAAGTAAAGAGTTGGTTAAAAATATCTGATGGAGCATGTTTATGAGCTCGGACTCATTCTAAATTATATCCATCCAACAACACCAAGGCTGAAATCCTATGCGCGCTTACCAGAGAATCAGTCCCACCGAACTCAGTGGGGGGGGGACTTCTGAGTAAATATGCTTCAGCTCAGGCTATGAGGCTGTTTTATGATTTCTATATAGTTAAGTTAATCTCCTCTAAGGTCACTATGTCTGCCCAGGTAACAAAGGTCAGATATAACAGCCGTTGCAGAAACACAGGCAGAGATTGGTGCTTCGAGTGCAGTTTCCTAAGGTCCTTGCCTTCTTTCGATGATTTCTGCTTGGTTTGAGCCGGCGTGATGGCCTCCCATATTAATCAACAGGCTGTGCAGCTTCTGCTTTTGCCAGGCACTCAAAACAGAATCTTCTGAAGGCGAGAGGAGGGAGAAGGACAGAATGGTTCCTAAGGATTGCATTCCTATTTAGACACGATAGGCTGCGCGGAGAAGCCACAATTAGGCAATGAGAGGTCTAAATGTCACCGCAGTTGCCACAGCCTCTCCTAAGAAGGGAGCCACTAATCTCTTGAGTTCACTAGACAAGAATGAAGGGTTTGATATATCATAGTAATACAGATAAATGGAAGTTTAAGGTCTGTACACCAAGTCAACTAAAGTGGCCGAGATAAATTGAAGGTCTTTTTTCAGAGTAAAGATGGAAGGAACATTTGCTGCTTTCTACTTGAGCAAATCCTAGATTCCCTCAATATCCGAAGAGGTCTATTTCCTGGGTGGTCCTTGCCACCGTCTCTTCAATATATGTGTGTGGGGTGGGTCAGGAGGAGCGAACTCTCTCTGAAGCGAAGGGTCTCGATGTTTTGTTTTTAATTTAGCCTCGACACCAGTCATGTCAATATGGAAAGCGGTTTCTTTCTGCTCGCAATGGGATGGCCATACTCACATTTCAAAGCAAGGAGCAGTCTGGAGCCCATTGTGTCTGAAACAAGGACCATCAATTATATTCCACAGAGCTGTCATATTTTAAACTGTAGGATGAGCGTTGAAAGGAAGGTAAAACGTATCAAATGGAAGACATCTGGCAGCCTGGAGGACGAGGAGATTGGCAGCATTTCTCAAGACAAATTAATTTGAACTGTGTGGAGATGCAATGCAATTTAGGAACCTCACATACAATCATGCATTTGCAGAGCTAATGCAATATTAAATGAGATGATGAAGGAGACTTGAAATGTTTGCTTAAAAAAACTCTCTCCCATTGAAAACGAGCAATTGTGTAAATTGGCACACCAATGCCAGGATCTCTGTGTTATCAACACTTTTTTCTTTCTTCAAATGGTCACCATTAATCAGATAATCATCGCCACCAGTACTTTCCCCTCACATTTCATTTCTTTAGGACCTCACTGTTTACAACCCCCCCCCCAACCACGCCTGGAAATCAGAATAAATCTTCAGACTGTAATACAAAAGATTATGCCATAGTATTTTTTTTTAGTATTTGTTGTTTCTGTTGCAATATGAACACCGCTAGCTCTTTGGAAATTATTTGTAGCCAGTAATGGTTTAGCATTGTGTCTGACTCATGGGTTTGAAATATGATGCATGTGGACATGATCTATAACTCCTGGATGGATGTGTGGATTGGAACTGAGTTATTTAGTGGCTTTTGCTATTCTGAAATGTGCCACTGTATCTATAGCTATATCTGCAGTTATATAGACACACATTTTAAAATGCATTTTAAATATAATTTTTAGAAATCCATATTTTGAAATAATGAGCATAGTTTGAGAGAAAATAATTTAAAATGCAATTAAAAAGCAAATTTGGATTTTTTAAAAAATTACAGATTAATGTGATACTTATAGTTTGGGGTTGGCAAATATGTCAATTTCAGTTTCCCTTAGTTTCTTATTTATCCAACCATAAGTTTAGTTCCCCACAGTTGTTTTTTTAAGTCCTCACGAAAATTTAGCAGCATTTATATGTGAATTTCTCCGAATACAGACATTCTTGTATGAAATTTCCTACACTATAATAATTTCCACAAAGCTATTTCCCTCAATAGAATGCCATTTAAAGGTCCTTTTCACAAAAATATGCATTTATACCCCTACTTTTTGCCTGCATATCCATCTTTGGAGAAGTGCAAATTTCAAAAGCTGGCTGTTTCGGAAGTTGAATGGAATCCGTTCCAGAAGTCTGTTCAACTTCCAAAATGTTTGAAAACCGAGGCATGGCTTCTGATTGGCTGCAGGAAGCTCCTGCAGCCAATCGGAAGCTGTGGAAGCCCCGTCGGACGTTCAGCTTCCAAAAACCATTCGAAAACCAGAACACTTACTTCTGGGTTTCGATCGTTCGGGAGCCGATTTGTTCAGGAGCCAAGGCATTTGAGATCCAAGGTACAATTGTATTGTTTCCGCAACTGTGAGTTAGGTAAGTTTGGTTTATATGTTATCTGAATCAATTTTCTCCTCCACCCCCGCTAATAATAATTGAACGCATGGGAAAATGACTTAGGCTGCCAATAGACCGATTCACCCTCTCTACTGTGTCGTTTGCATGACATGATTTGTGTCTGTGACGCAGCCACAGTGGGGATTGTCACACGTAGGCCAGAGTCACACCATACCTTTCAAGCACAATGGTGCTGCTTTAAACAGTCATGGCTTCCTCCAAAGAATCCCGGGAATGGTGTTTTGTTAAGGATGCTGAGAATTGTCCGGTGATCCCTATTCCCTTCGAAAGCTGCCATTCCCAGAGTAGCATAACAATCAGTCCAGTGGTATGAGGTGAATTTTTTCGTAGGGAACAGTTAGGACCAGAGGTGCCAGCTTGCAAGGGTGACAGGACGGGGACTGATGTGTGTGATGTCACAACGTTCTGACATTGCGCATGTGAGCATTGCACCTAACTCCCTAAACTGGGCAGACGTTTCCTGGGCTTTGGGAAGGAGGCACCCAGGGAATATTTAGGAGATTAGCCTAGTTCACCTAGTCCACTGAACACACACCACCATATCAATCCCTCTGGGAATGGTGGCTCTGTGAGGGGAACAATTCTAACAACAACAACAACAACAACAACAACAACAATTTATTTATACCCTACCCATCTGGTTGGGTTTCCCCAACCACTCTGGGCAGCTCCCAACAGAATATTAAAAGCACAATAAAAGATCAAACATTAAAAACTTCCCTAAAAGAGGGGTGCCTTCAGATGTCTTCTAAAAGTGGGATACAGTGGTACCTCGGGTTACATACGCTTCAGGTTACAGACTCTGCTAACCCAGAAATAGTACCTCGAGTTAAGAACTTTGCTTCAGGATGAGAACAGAAATTGTGCTCCGGCGGCGCAGCACCAGTGGGAAGGCCCCATTAGCTAAAGTGGTGCTTCAGGTTAAGAACAGTTTCAGGTTAAGAACGGACCTCAGGAACAAATTAATTACTTAACCTGAGGTACCACTGTAGTTGTTTATTTTCAGGCATAGACAACCTCGGCCCTCCAGATGTTTTGGGACTACAACTCCCTTGATCCCTAGCTAACAGGACCAGTGGTCAGGGATGATGGGAATTGTAGTCCCAAAACATCTGGCGGGCCTAGGTTGCCTATGCCTGTTTATTTCCTTGACATCTGATGGGAGGGCGTTCCAAAGGGAGGGCGCCACCACTGAGAAGGCCCTCTGTTTGGTTCCCTGTAGCTTCACTTCTCGCAGTGAGGGAACTGCCAGAAGGCCCTCGGAGCTGGACCTCAGTGTGCGGGCTGAACGATGGGGTTGGAGACACTCCTTCAGGGATACTGGACAGAGGCTGTTCTCAGCACCCTTAACATCTCCCAGGATGTCATGAGTGTTTAAAGTGGTTGTGACATTGCCATATGAGAGTGCTGGAGGTGAAATAGTTAAACAGGTTACCCTATCAGAACCCAGGGGGATGGAGTCAGAGGGACTATAAAACCAGCTCTGGGAGGGGCAAAGGGTGGTGTTCGTTAAGAGTTTGTTGAGGAGTTCGTTGGGAGTTGGGTGGTTGGTTGGAGTGGGAGTGAATTGGGATAGAGTTTTTGGGTAGGTTGAGTTTGTTGTTATTGTTCTTTAGTCGTTTAGTCGTGTCCGACTCTTCGTGACCCCATGGACCAGAGCACGCCGGGCACTTCTGTCTTCCACTGCCTCCCGCAATTTAGTCAAACTCATGCTGGTACCTTCGAGAACACTGTCCAACCATCTTGTCCTCTGTCGTCCGCTTCTCCTTGTGCCCTCCATCTTTCCCAACATCAGGGTCTTTTCCAGGGAGTCTTCTCTTCTCATGAGGTGGCCAAAGTACTGGAGTCTCAGCTTCAGGATCTGTCCTTCCAGTGAGCACTCAGGGCTGATTTCCTTAAGAATGGAGAGGTTTGATCTTCTTGCAGTCCATGGGACTCTCAAGAGTCTCCTCCAGCACCAGAATTCAAAAGCAGGGTTGAGTTAGTGTAGTGAAATAACTGAGTGAAATTCCTGAGTCAGGAACAGTTAGGCCCTAGGAAGACAAGTAAATATCTGAGAGGTGGTTTAGTGAGTGAGAGCAGGTAGCGGAAGTTATAGGTCTAGATAGGCACCCCATGAATGTAATTGACCGATACCGTTTATGAAACCACACGCTTGTTAAACTGCAATAAATAAACAGGAGTTTATGTTCCAATTTAACCCTGACTGGACTCAGGATTGTCCCAGGTAGGACCTGGGTGGTGGCAGCGAGAAATAAAGTGGTGGCACAGGGATCAATAGACGGTGAAACGTCCGGGGACCCTGTGTGATCGCCACAGTGGTATCTTAGTGCTTTAAGTCTATTGTGTGGACGTGGCCATGCCATTAGAGAGAGAACAGAACGGTCCGGATGAGCTCCCACTCCATTCCTGTGGCTTTGGACCGAAGCCTTGACTCTTCCCCCTTCGCCTCCCCAAAAAACGGAGAAACACAGACAGGAGCTGGGACCGAAAGCGTTAAACACCAGCGAGAGCAGCCGCTCCAACACAATTAATCCATATAAAGCTCATGGATTTCTCTGCAGTGATCTTTGTGTTGTCATTTGCATTCCTCCCCCCCCCCCTATTTTTTTTTGTGTGAAATCTTTTCTTCTTTCCCTTTTCTAACACTCGGTCTGCATGGGGAAATTAGCATATTGTACTGAGAGCAGGAGATGTAAGAAGCCGACCCCCTGCTGTTCAGCGGATTGTGCAATCTGCAGGCGGCATCAATTTTTCAGCACTTTCCTCATTTCTCATTACAGTCAGGGCACCGCGCAGCTCCTCCCGGTTCGCCACAATCCCTAGCGGTCCTGCAGACAAGCATATGGGCTGTCAAAGAGCTATCCCGGTACTTTCGGAGCATTAATACCCTTGTTTATGCCTCCCGCCATAATTAATCAGGGTATTAATGCGGCCTGGGCTTAGCTCTGCTAATTATATAGGGTACAGTGGGATAATTATGTCAGCGTGCTCCAACACTAATACTTGACAGCAATTTAGCAATCTTGGGAGAGACACATTAACCCTCTGGCCAATCTTGCCATGTAAACAAGGAGGGGGAGAAAAGCTGGGGGTGGATGGTGGGTGACAGCCAAACGAAGCCTGCAAGATGCACCCCAAAGCCACAAACCCCATAAGTCGGAGCCCTGGACTTTCGGCCAATTCCGCGTCACCGACTTAGAGGGGAGCCCAGCCAGCTCAAATCCGCCGGCGCTGCCTTGAAGGTGTTGTCGCCGCTACCGGTGTCATATTTTGCATACGGCACAATAAAGTTGTTCTGGGGTGTCGAGTTCTGCGGTTGTCATAGCGACGTGCGCATTATTGGGAGGGTGTTGTTCCTCCTGCCAGCTAATCTTATAATGATGATGTCTCGTTATCAAATGGAGGAGTGGCCCCGGTCCACCGCCCTCCCAGCTCCTCTGCTCACCAACACTTCCCCGTTTCGTTTAATAGGGCCATCATTAATCGCTACCCATCTCCTCCAAGTCAACTTTTGAAGGTGAAAATGCGGCGAAGTATCGGCCATACAAAATAATGGCCTGTCCAAAGCAGTCTAGTTAGTTGTTGATCTGTTCCCAATCTCGGCGTATCCGTGTTTGTGTGACCTTTACAAAACAAACAAACCACAGCCGCTATCCCTGGCTATCTAACATCCAAATTCATTAAACCTAAAGATGGAGAAGCTCTGGCCCATAACAGCTTTGCACCTGTTTTTGCTGCTTGACCATTGCTGCTGAATATCTTTCTGTGGGTCAATATTACCTTTCTGCATCAGGCGCACGGCTTAATGGAACTTCCTTTTCTTATCATTAGCCACTTTGCATATTTATATAACACTATTAACCAGGAGACTGACTCGCTTTTAATTCCATGCTGAGGTTTGCCTCCAATTGTTATCCCCCCCCTCCGCCCAGACAATCCAATTATCACAGCTTGTCACACAAAGACGGATAGTCCACTTTAACAATTCGTACTGCTGGCTACATTTTAGAGACTGATTCTGCATGAGGTCAATAAAACTAGAGCATTGCGGTCACGTGAGTGTGGTTTTGTGGGGAAAGAGCCCTGAGGTGGGTTTTAATTTCGTTTTAATTAAGCTCTTTGTTTTGTTCGTTGTCCGGCAAAACAAAATAATAATTAAAAACAACAACAACAAAACGAAACGAAAAACAAACAACCTCAACATGAAGAACAGCCAAGCCAACTCTAAATCAGCTGTGAAATTATGTTGTTTGAAGATCTGGAATCTGAAAAACGGTTTTAAATGGTTTGATTTTGTTTGTTGTTTTGGAAACTCGATTTATATCAGGGTTGACACTGAATAAAGTGAGGTGCAGGCCACTGAAAATTAGAATGGTCCAAGGCAGGGCTTTTTTTTTCTAGAAGAAGAGGTGATGGAACTTGCTGAGCACCCACCCAAAGGGAAAGAAACCAAGGTTGTTGACCATTTTTTTGGTGAGAACACATCTTCTCTTCTTCCAAAACAAGAAGAAACACAGATGGGAATAACTCACAGGGACTTTTCCCCAGTGCAACATGTGCCATCGGAGCCTCCTAGGTCAGTGGAAGCCCTTCTGTTGCCATTCCCCATCGTTGCTCAAGGTGAGGTCTTCTTTAGACTTTAGGAAGTTGGGGACTCACAGGGATGCCATGGCATCAAAAGAGACTAGACACATGTCCCAGTTTAAGTTGGGTCTTGCTCCAAAGGTGCCGTACCACAGCCAGGACTTGGGCTGCTACACTGACCTGGGCAAGGTGTTCAGATTTCAAGTCCCCTCATCCAAATGCTCTCCTCAGCCCTATAAAATGATCATTTGGAGGAAACCCTTGTAGGAGACTAGAAACCATAGTCAAAGGTAGACTTGTGGTTCTTCGGCACAGAGGAATAATGCATTTCCCAGTTCCCTGCTTCCGCAGCCAAGTTTTTGTATACTGATTGGGCCAGGTAGACAAAGGCAGGCTGCTTATTGTGCTACTTGACAATGCCAAGTGACACCACTCCTTATTTTTACTCTTTTCTTCATTTGAGATCAAAGCCCTGAGAGGGCGAAGGGAGTGGCACTGTTGGTTTGCTGAATACCAGGCTTCCTTCTCCCCATGTTTTCTCCACAACTGCGAAGACTGGAAAATGCCGCTATCAAAACAACGCTTGGAAGCAAGATCAGATGCCATGCTCCTCAAGCACTAGACAGAAAACCTGAAATCTAGCTAATATTTCTAGCCCTCACTCTGTGCAAATGTTTCAGAAGGACCAGCGTAACATCCACAAAGGAAAGAATAACAATGCGAAAGCCCTATAAACATAACATAGTAGCTACCCTGGATTCTTCTTGCATCACTCTGGCATGTTGGTCCAGTCCAGGGATGGGGAACCTGTGGCCTCCAGATGTTGTTTGACTCCATTTCCCATCAGCCCCAGCTAGCATGGCCCAAGGTTCAGGCCTAGCTAGGCTCTAGGAGCCGTAGTAATCCTTTGTGTAGGTGGTGGTGATCTTATGTGTCTACCCATTGACGCTTCTCTTCAGGCAGCACACGAGACTCTGATCACATCAACAAATATTTCTAAAATAATAAACACTAAATATGGTCTGAAGCTCAACATCAAAAAAACTAAGATCATGGCCACTGGGCCCATCACCTCCTGGCAAATAGAAGGGGAAGAAATTGAGGCAGTGAGAGATTTTACTTTCTTGGGCTCCATGATCACTGCAGATGGTGACAGTACTCATGAAATTAAAAGATGCCTGCTTCTTGGAGAAAAGCGATGACAAACCTAGATAGCATCTTAAAAAGCAGAGACATCACCTTGCCAAAAGAGGTCCGTATAGTTAAAGCTATGGTTTTCCCAGTAGTGATGTATGGAAGTGAGAGCTGGACCATAAAGAAGGCTGATCGCCAAAGAATTGATGCTTTTGAATTATGGTGCTGGAGGAGACTCTTGAGAGTCCCATGGACTGCAAGAAGATCAAACCTATCCATTCTTAAGGAAATCAGCCCTGAGTGCTCACTGGAAGGACAGATCCTGAAGCTGAGGCTCCAATACTTTGGCCACCTCATGAGAAGAGAAGACTCCCTGGAAAAGACCCTGATGTTGAGAAAGATGGAGGACACAAGGAGAAGGGGACAACAGAGGACGAGATGATTGGACAGTGTTCTCGAAGCGACTAACATGAGTTTGACCAAACTGCGGGAGGCAGTGGAAGACAGGAGTGCCTGGCGTGCTCTGGTCCAGGGGGTCACAAGGAGTTGGACATGACTAAACAATTAAACAACAACAACCCCTGAAGGATTACATTGCACACTGCGAGAAGGACCACATGGCCTCAACTCGGCTGGCCCCACAGCCATGGCTGAGGAACTTATTTCAGCTTGTAGTCCTCATTCCCTCAAACGCAACCTTCCAGGGATTGTACGCCAGGGGTGATGAATAAGACCAGGGGTTGAGAGCAGATGGAGAATGGAGGTGCCTCTTGATTTTGCACAGTAGGCTACATTCCAGCAATGTGAAACCCAGAGGTTCCCACATGAACACCTTCCCATCTTTCATTCAGCCAAGCAAGAGGCACCACCTAGGCAAAAGCAGCTGAGGAGCAGGGCTGGTGAAGGCTGTGGTTTGGGGAGAGCTTCAACGGCGAGGCCGAGATAGCTGGAGGCTGACAATAGTTTCTGAGTTTCCCCGCCTTTGCACAAGGTGAAGTGAGGGAGCTGCCTCAGGGATCTGATTTTGGAAATCGTGAAAAGCAGCTAGTTTTTTGTTTGATGTATAACTATGGTATTTTTACCATTAGGGAGAGAAACAGAAATATTCCAAAATATCTATCAGTCTTGGGTACTATGCATAAACAGGAAAACTAATGCATTATTCCCCACATCTGAATGCAGCCAGTTGTTCTCCTCCAAACCATCCAAAATATTTATATGTTCAGGACTTGAGTTTGCATCTCGCTGACATTCTTCTGTTGGATTTGCTTTACTTATATATACAGTATCTCCTTCACTTCATCAGCCCATAGCTGGCCAGATTCATGATTCCAGAATGCCCCCCAATAATCACTCTATTACACTGGAGGCTGCAAAAGAAATCATATAAAACCGGCATAGATATTGAACAAGATGCACCTTTCTATCACATCACTGCCCCAGGTTACTGTGTGAGAGACTGAGGGGAATTAAGACATAAATGGAACGCAGGATTTCGTCTTCTTCTTCTTTTCTGTCCATGAGCGCTGAAACTATTACCCTTGTTATATGGTTTTGATCAGTGAAAATTTGGGCCTGCCTGCCACACGTGTGCCAGCCATTTATTGGCACATCTGCCCGGAGAGGAATTTAATTTGTATAGCTGACTTCTCTGACAGATTTTGACTCCTTTATTTTTATGAAAGAGCTGTTCTGTATTTTGATTGTGCCTGCTTCACTATTTTCTTGGCTTCTCCCAGCTCTGACACTTCTCTGGGCATGTTCCCCTCTAATAGTGATTGATTATACATATTTTAAAATGTTATTATTATAATTAGATGATGTGCATCAAATAAGAAAGTCAGCAACATTTTGAGCATGTGTTAATGTCGACAACAAACTCGGGGGTGAGGTAGGCTGCAGATTTTCTTTATGGCTGGGAAACATCTCAATATCATTTTATGATTAAGTCTTATGGTTGTTTCAGGTCATAATTTACAGGTGGTGAAAAGATAGCATATAAATATTGCCCAGCATAAAATGCAACATGAAAACTTAATGCATATGACTTTGTGTTATCCATCAATATAAATTATACTCTTATTTGAAATTAAGGCAGATCTTGAGATGGGTCCATAGGACACGTCTACCCAGCAACTGCAATGCCTCATTTGGTGTCCTGTGCTCATTTTGGGGTGCCACAATTTCAGATGGATGCTGACAATCATTTGGAGGCAAACTGCAAAGATGATAAAAGGTGCAGAAGGCAAGTCAGAGGAGGAATGTCAGACGGCACTGCTTATGCTCGAGAGAAGATTAAAAGGAGTCAGATTGACAGGTCCCAGATATTTAAAAAGGTGTTGTGGGACGAAAGGGGGAGAGCCACTTCCCTGCGACTGACGTGACCCCAAGAAAACACAACCATGTATCTGAAAATCTCCTCCTCCCATGGTCCAACTCCATGTCACCTTGGTCATGTTCAGAGCCGTAGTTAAGTGATCTTGTGCCGGTGGCAGAATCATCCAGATTGCGCCCCCTAGCCAGGAATAAATTGGC